AAAATCTATATTCTCTGCAAATTATTTTGTTCTTATGATCAATTCCTTCATATTTTGACTATAATCTCTTATTTTCTCCAACAATTTGGTATTGGTTTAATCCAGTATCATCTTCGTTTCACAACAAATTGGTATCAAAGTTTTTGGTTTTGAAATTGTTGAGAAGATGGAGGTTTTTCGTAATGGCAATAATGAAGTATGATATTCCGCTATTGGATCACAATACAAGATTCTTTTTGTGGAAGGTAGAGATGTGAGCGATACTCACTCATATGAATTTGGATGACGCGTTGTTGAGATTTAACTAGATGCCCACAACTTGAAATTCGGAGGAGAAATAATGAAGAGATCAAAATTCTCTATCTCAAATACATCTTCATCTTTCAAATAATATTCTTTGGAACGTTGTAAAGGAGAAGTCAGCCGGTGCACTATGGTTAATATTGGAGCAATTATCCATGATAGAGACTCTTATATCAAATTGCATCTGAAGTAACGTCTACATTCTCATCATATAACAGAATGTACATCTCGTGAGGATCAACTAACTAGTTTTAAGGAAATCGTTGCTGATTTGGAGACCTTGAAGGTTAAACATGATGAAGAAGATTTATGGTTGATTTTATTGTATACATTGCCCTCTTCATACATGTTTTTTAGATATATGATTTTATGTAAGTTATAATACTCTCACCATCTGAGGGTCATGAGATGACCTCATTATTGATGGTGGTCGTTCAAGGGGAAATCAAAATTCAACTTCAAATTTTGTAACTATTGCAAGAAAAATGGGCACTTGAAAAATAATTGTTATAAGTTGTAGAATAAATTAAAATTGATTGTAAAGTGACAATCATAAATTTCAGAAGAAATAACTATTGCAAAAAAATCCTAGCAGTGATAAATGGCGTTTACTTATACTAACTACAACTTCAAACCTGACGATGCTGGATTTTTTTATACAACTTACACTTTTCATATGACTCATAATCAAGAGGGAGGTGAATTGGGGTTTTTGAAACTTTTTCGACACGAGTTGAAATAAGAGAATCTCAACAGGTAATGATCCAGCCCGTGTGTCCAAGCTATTAATTTATTACGTACTATCCACTTTGGAAGTGCATATGTTCTCTTATCCCCTCATGATTTTATTTCCCTAACACCTACTTAGCCTTAATGCTGGAATTATTTTTGTTTTAGGTTTTGTCTTTACTCTAAAGAAGAAAAATTCTTCTTGATAACCCAAGAATAACTAATCAAGAGGGAGGTGAATTGGGATTTGAAACTTTTTCAACACTTAGTCTCAAATCAATACAAAACACAAGATATAAATGTAAAGTATAATACTAGAATTAAATATGCAAGTTCGATAATTTAGTTCGAGTATGAATATAGCACAATATAAATNAATATACAAATACGATAACTTAATTCAAGTATGAATATAGCACAATATAAATGGCAATGTAAAGTAAAGTGCAATAATGTAAAGATAACAAACCAATTTAATGGGGTTCGATACACAATGTGTTCTACGTCTCCGTTACCAAGCTCTCCATCACGAGCAAAACCAAATGCACTATAATGGTAACTTATAAACAATGAGTATCGATTCTTAAGTGACTTACAACAAGGAGTTATCCAGTTATCCTTAGGTGACTTACAATAAGGATCACCTATCTTTTACGTGACTTTCACCAAGGAGTACTTATCCTTAATAACAATCGAATTTTCACAAGACTCTCGAAAC